AGGATGAAAGGCCAAATGCAAGGAACCCTCCAAAAACTGTAGAGTGTTCGCGTTGAACTTGATATTGAATGGTTGGGCTGAGTTTGATGCTGCTTCCCATTGGCTATCGAGTGAATTTGGAGGTGGACTTAGATAATCAAGGTCAAAGCCCAGCTGTATTTTCGGGACCACGCGCGAGTTACAGAATTGTAAGTTTGGCGTAAATGAACAAATACATTATCGATTCACTGCGCAACATTGGCCCCGCCATCCTGAAAACAAAAGCTCCTTGAGTCTGTGCTCTTTACCACAACACAGCAGACAGACACTGCAGGGAACTTCAACGTTCTGATGATATTGAGGGCAACGCGGGTGCGCCTTGTCGCGTGCAGTGAAACTTCAGCGCGCGCACTATGCCGGCAATTCAATGTCCTCCATTCATCCCGCCTTGGGAGTCCCAAGGTGGGATTCCCAGGTGGCGCGGGCCTGCATATCCCACCCTGCTGCGATCCCAATCACCCCAAACCCTACCCACAAATACCACAACGCATCTCCGCAAAGCGGATACGCATCCTAACGCACAACACCCGCCCGGCCACCATGCCCGCCCTCCCACCCAAGGTTGGGGCCCTCGGGCACCCAAGGTCAATACAGCCCAACGACTCCTTGACTGCCTCAAATCGCCTGAAACCGGCTCGAAGCGCAGGAGAGCTCCCGCCCGTCTCTCAGCTCTCCCCCCCACTTCACCCCAAAGCGTGCGCGTCGCTCCGCGCGTTCCCCGCCGCCCTCGCACCCCCGGGCCCCAAGGACCGCCGCGCGATTACCTGTGGAGGCGGCAGGCCCGCCAGCGCGCCGCAGGCCGCGCCCAGCGAGGCGTAGGGCCCCCGCTCCACCGCCGCCACGAGGCCCTCCACCTGCAGCCCGCCTGGACTGCTCCGACACCTGAGCACGAAGAACTGCGCCCAACGGTGCAGGCACACACAGGGCGGGGCGCGCATGTCAGTTCCGCCCCACCCTTCTCGGAAGTCGGAGTTGTGAACAGAGCGCGGGGTGTGAAGGGGCTGAAGGTTGGAAGGCCTGAGCTCTCGGGCCCCACCTGCTCCTTTTCGTCGGCCGCCGAGCTCCCGCAAGATGGCGGGTTGTCGCTTCCGGGCTCCTGCGGACGTTTGGCGGGGCACGAACGGTCAGGAAAGCCTTGGGACCCGGCAGCCCGCCCCCAGAGCAAGGCCCGAGAGTCCCGCCCCAGTGGCCCCCAGCCAGCCGGCCGCCACCTGCGCCTCCATCCTCCGGGAGAGCGGGCCTGCTGGGCGGGTACGGTTCCGGCCTCGGCGGCGGGGGCGCATCCAGGGGCGAATCCTGGCTGAGGGTCAACGCCGCCGCGCCGCCCGCTCTTGGGGCCGCCGTATCCCATGGCGACGTTGGTAAAATGATGCGAATCAAGCCCAAATCCCCGTGATCCGATCTTCCCCCCCTCTCCTCGTCCCGCCTTCCTTGGGGTGTGGGGATGGGGAGGGCTTTGCCCGTCATTGTGAGGTCAGTGCAGACCGCCAGCAAGGGGGCGCCGTCTGACCACCTGAATTCGGCAGGGACACTTGACATGACCAGCGTGTCGAATTTTCATGTCGCCTGTAAGCATGTCCGTTCATTCATCCATTCCTCGTCCCGCCCCAGGCCCGCTCGCCTCCGCGCTTTTCGGGTCGCCGCCGCTCCGGCCTCTTGCCTCCGCGCTGCCGTGGGCAGGCGCTCCTGATTGAACCCAGCACTGAGAAGCCCGCCGCCTCCAGCGGGTGGCAGCTGCCGCCGGCCTGACTGGCTTCTCCCCGTCCATGGCAGCGGCGAGCGGCCCCACCTCCATAACACAGCTCACACAAATCTGCTGCTGACTCGCCGGCCGCCCTGCCTGGGCGCCTGCACGCCTTTATCTGAAACCGCTCTTGCCAATGCCGGCTTCCTCACACACTTGCTTAGGTAGGGGTTGCCCTTTGTGCGACCTGTTTCTCTCCCCCTCTCTCTGTAACAAATCTTACCCCCCTCTGCGCCTCACAATTCCCTCTAGGCCCACCCACTGCCCCACCTGGACCCTGCCGCCGCTTCTGCCCGCCGTTGACCATTTGACAGGCCTGCCACTTCTGCGGCGGCGGCGAGCGGGGCGGGCGACGGGGCCCAGGCGCCGGCCAGCCGAACGGTCCGTCCAAGGGCGCCCGCGTCCCGCGTGCGCAAACCCGCGCCCAATGTTGACGTCAGCATTGGATACGACCATCCACTGCTGACGCCAGCATTGGATGCGAGGTTCCATAGTGGGGCCTAATTCCCACGACGTTGGATTCGAATCAACTCCCGGCCCACACAAAATCGCCACCTTGCAGCCGGACTGCTACCCGGATCTTCAGGATCAAGGGCCGTGAACGCAGCTGACTCCCCCCCTTCCCGTACAAGGTTTGGGCCGCTGACCCGGCGACCGCCGGGGCGCATGTTGGCGTCGCGAGGAGGCCTGACGTCTGGGCCTTATGGCGAAAGTCGTCGCGAACGCCCGTAGAGAATATGTTAGTCCCTCTAGAGGGACAGATCTGTCTTTTTCATGAAGATTTTTCTTGTTCTGCTGACAAGGCCGACGTCGGTCAGTGGGTCAGTGGTTTAGGGCTAACGTTGTCGGAAACAAAAAGCGCTCTTCTCGGAAAGACAGAGCGACTAATTGGGTGCCACGCGCGTGACCACCATGTTGACGTCCCCGCTTCGAGCTGCGGAGGTGGCCTGTCCCTGGTCTGTCGCCGGGCTCAAGCGCAGACCCCTCGCCGAACGGCCACCGCCGACGCCAAAGCTGCAGCGCTAACTCTTGCGCCAAGCCCCCCTGCTTCGCAAACTGGGTCACCTTGCTGTTTCGCTCTTGTGTGCCACAAACAACGTGAAATATCTTGTATGTCACACTGACATACAGTGTGAAATACATATGTCTGCCGCTGTCGCAGAGCTGCCTGTTATGGCGGCCTGACAACGTGGGACGGCAGCCTACTGTTCACGCCGTCGGGAACAAGTGGCAGAACCAAATTCGGGTATGCATTGAACCTTGTGACTCAAGGTGCCGCAGGCCATTTGGGGGGAAAAATGACACCGTCATTTTTCCCCAAAAGAGGTCTTGATTCAATCAGCGACGTGACGCGTGATTCAACCAGGGACCCGGAGGGTGCGAACTTCGCCAACTTCATGACGACATCAGAACCCCGTTTCACCGCCGCCGAACCAGAGGCACCTGCGGCTCTTTCCTGACGGAGGCTGCGGAGCGAGGCGGGGCGCCGCCCGAGCACGGGGCGACATGCGCTCTCGACGGAAATGATGCGATGGCTAGAGCCATTCGCGGATCGGCTGAAAGATGCGCTACCCGCTGATGGAACAGTTGGGGCTGTTTGAGGTGGTGGCAGGGAGCTGGAGCTGATGCGACTGGGACATATCTCCCATTCCATTAGTGGCTAATGGAATGTTCCAACATGTTCCACTAATGGAATATTCCAACCAGTCCATTAGCAACTATTGGATGTTTGTTCGATTCGCCAATGGCACGGAATGCGCGTGCAATGTTCCAACGTGTTTTAATAATAAAACTGTTTGGTTAGTATTGACACCAATTAGGTTTTGTCTGGATCTGAAACCTGTGCAGTGGGCCGGTGTCTCGCGCCCGGCTTTGGTTTGCCCGGGGCGCTGATGAGTCATGACAGTCATGAGTCATGGCTCCAGTGGCCCAAACGGCGTGCTGACTGAGGACACGCGCCCTTTCGCGGAGACTGGTTCTTTCTTTGTGCCAAATACAACATGTTTCAGAGCCCAGCTGCCGCCCCCGCTCCTACAGACGGCTTGAGGGCCTTGCGCCACTTCCCAAGCACTGGCAAGGTTATGTAAAGAACAAGCGACACTGTAGGTTTTACGCATTGTCCAGTGTTGAAAGTAAGGGGCAACACTATGTGAAGATCAAACTGCGCTGCGGCTTTCATGTATTGTCCGGCATTAAAAGTAAGGGCGCAGGGGGCTGAGGTGCAGAGGGCTTCCAAAAGCGCACCGCAGCAATCCAGTGCTGTGCCTTGTCCTTATGGCGAGGAGTTGTATGTTTGAACAACGCATGCGACAGTAGCACCCAGGCAGCGGCGTAGGCTGTGCGCCATATCTTGAAGATGCAGCACTGTTGAGCACCACTGAATGTTGGCTTGAAAACTAGGTATCGATTTGGACTCTGCACATGCTCACAATAACAGAACAGATACGCATTGGGCCTCACGGCCCGCTTCCAGTCAAGGTGGCCTATTGAGCTTATTAGCCTAAGAGACCTTGTCGGAAAGATCGGCCAACGACTTCGCATCCCTTTTCTTCTTCAGAACTATGTTATAGGAAAGTCGTTTTGCAACCTTTCAGGTTAGAAGGCAAGAACAGGCGTTTTCCAGCAAGAAATGCCGCTGGAAGTATGCCCACCGTCGCCTTGCAAGAGCAGGCGCCTTTCCATCTTTTTGATCTCCAAACGTCGCGTCCCGAACACAGTACTGCCGCAGAAAATGTACGAGGCTCGGCAGGCGTCGGCAAACACGGCCAAACAGGTTGCGTTCAACCAACCTCATCAATTAACAAATGCTCCTCAGATTGCTCACGTCAGATCAAACAGGCCGGCCACGGAAAGCGCAGATGCATTGACAACGACTCCCGCATAAACAAAATCGTTTCTCGAAGGGGCGCCTGCAGCGTGCGGCACAGGCCGCCTGGGCGCGGCCACCCCTCCGACGGCACAGTCCATCAAGAATCAAACTAATCCCCGGGCGCGCAACGAAAACAGAGTCCCCAGCCGCCGACCCGCCCCTCTCAAACGCCCAAAACCGTCCGCGCAGCACGGCGGACGCCGCCCCAATCGGGGCGCCATCCCCGGCGCCATGACGCGGGCCCGTGGCCCCAGCCACACGCTCATCCCCAACACCGCGACCGGAACAGGTCCGAAAAAGAATGTCGAGCCAATAAACCTAAGCTAGACCACACGGACCCCGTTCAGCTCAGTTCGCGTCCTTGAACTCCGCGTCCACGACGGTGTCGTCGTCGTCGCCCTTGCCGTCCGCCCCGCCAGGCCCCTGGGGCCCGGGGCCTCCCGGGCCCTCCGGCCCGCCTGGCGCGGGCCCCCCCTGGCCCCCGTACATCGCCGCCCCCATCTGCATCGCCTCCTCCTGCAGCTTCTTCATGTTCGCCTTCATCCCTTCCACGTCGTCCTTGTCGATCGACTCCCTCAGCACCTTGATCGAAGCCTCCACCTTGCCCTTGAGATCGTCCGGAATCTTCTCCCCGAACTCCTTCAGCTGCTTCTCGGTCTGGTAAACCATGCTGTCCGCCTGGTTCTTGGTGTCCACGCTGTCGCGCTTGGCCTTGTCCTCGTCGGCAAACTTCTCGGCCTCCTTCACCATGGCGTCCACCTCGTCAGAGGGCAGCGTGGAGGCGCCCGTAATCTTGATGTCCTGTTGCCGCCCGGTGCCCTTGTCCGTGGCGGTCACCGACAGGATGCCGTTGGCGTCGATGTCGAACTTCACCTCCACCTGGGGCGCGCGTTGCAGAAGTCGTGACAAACAGAACAGGGTCGCTTTTGTTGCTTATTTTCCTTTGTTTTCTAAACGAGTGTTGTCAAAACAACTGTTTCACAACTTGTTCTTACAAGGTGTTTCATAACCTTTCTGGAATCCAAATGAATTCCGAATAGTGATGAAACATTCTGGAAGAAGACATATGAAACATTCTGCAATTGCAAAAGGGGACGGGTCACATAAAGTGCCCCAAATTTCACACAGGTGAGGGCTGCATTCTTCATAGGGATCGGTAGGCGAGAGAGGCGCTGCAGATTGCAAATACCGCATGCACTGCCAGCACTGAACAGAAATATGTATGTTGGTGCTAATATGGTGCTTGGGCGCCGCCATTGCTGCCGACCATAGGCTACTTGCTTGCAGACACAGTTCAGTTATCAACAGGCACATAGTAACATAAAACGGCTGATGGTGCCGTGGCTTTGAGGTAAGCTGATCATCATCAATCGTGAAGAAAGGGTCACGTCTCTTCCATCTGGACCAGGTTGCCTGTTGATCTCTTGCATGCCTCATAAAGCTTTGAGTAAGAGAAACAGCTATGGCAACACACATCGACTAAGTATTGGCCTTCTAGTCTCTCCACACTGACTTCTGGTCTATAGTACTTCTAGCAGCTGCGTTGTTGTTCAAATACCTTCAAATACATTGACTAAGAAACACACCACGACATAAATAAACAACAAGACCACAGCAGCAACTGGCCGCCACACACACCTGCGGCACGCCCCGTGGGGCGGGCGGGATGCCGTCCAGCCGGAAGGTCCCCAGCGACTTGCAGTCCCGCACAAACTCCCTCTCCCCCTGCACCACGTTGATCTCCACACTGGTCTGCCCGTCCGCGGCCGTGGAGAACGTCTCCGACTTGGACGTGGGCAGCGTGGTGTTGCGTGTGATCAGCTTGGTGTTCACACCCCCCAGCGTCTCCAACCCCAGTGACAGGGGCGTCACATCCAGCAGCACGATGTCCGAAACCTCGCCGGCAAGCACACCGGCCTGAACGGCTGCTCCGAGCGCAACCACCTCGTCAGGGTTCACCGAGACATTGGGCTCCTTCTGAGTCATGCTCTGCACCAGGTCCCGGACAGCAGGGATCCGGCTGGAGCCACCCACCAAGATGACTTCGTCGATCTCCGACAGGCTAAGCTTGGCATCCTTGAGCGCCTGCTCCACAGGCCGCCTGCAGCGGTCGAGGAGGTCGGAACAGATGTCCTCGAACTTGGCCTTGGTGATGTTGGTGTCAATGTGCTTGGGGCCATCTGCGGTGGCGGTGATGAAGGGCAGGTTGACAGAGGTCTGGGGGAGGGTGGAAAGCTCGATCTTGGCCTTCTCGGCAGCCTCCGTCAAGCGCTGGAGGGCCTGGCGGTCATTCCTCAGATCCATGGCTGCAAACACCGCCATGCTCGATGTCGGAATTTGGTACTTACAGACATTGTGCACGCGAATTGCACCAGACATAGCCACGCAACGACAATACTGCCACATTTGAACACTGCTTTGATTTCCGTGCGTGCCATCGCCTGTACAGTGCAAGACTCCGTTTCCACAGCTATTCTGACATACGAGGTCCTTGCAGTAAGTATGCTAAACCTATATTCTCAAGTGCAAGAATATGCTCGTTTTTTATGAAAAAACAGTCAAAGATTGTACACCAACAAACTGTTTGCCTGCTGTCCAGAGACCTGTGCGTATTTGTCCCCCCGCAGCATTGCGAGGTCCTTGCAGAGCACCAAGAAACTGATACTGTTCGTTGCATTGAGCTGAGCAAAAGCAACTCCCAAAAGCAGTGTGTTGTTTTCATGCCACTTGCAAGAGTAGATTCATTCACTTTCCTTTGGTTTTCCGGCCTGTGGGTCCATGCGACAGGGCAGTTGGGGAACAAATTTAGGAATGAACCTTTGGTGGCCACTGGCAATAAGAACAGAACAAGTTAGGCGTCCGGACATGTGCCGGTCGCACGACATTCAGTTGTCAGAATCGTTGCAAGGAGCTACAACAACAAATGCACACTCACACTCTGCCTGTTGAAACTCATTCGCCAGCAGGTCGACTATCCGCTTGTCAAAGTCGTCTCCACCCAGGTGGGTGTCCCCAGATGTGGACAACACCTCAAAAACGCCGTCGCCGACCTGACCATCCACAACAGTGACAATTGACACGTGACAGAGGGCTCAGTATAAAATGCTTTTGGCAGCTGCTCTTCATAGCAAGACGACCGCGGGATGCATTCCTTTGCTGCCGGACGCCACTCGTTGGATGCATACAGGGATGTCTCTGAACAGCAGATGCATTGGGGATGGAGCGTTGGATAGTACTTTATACAAATGAGCATCGAACAATCAATCCAACATGATGGTAAGCACACAGCGGCTTCATCCTCTTCTTTGATAGGGCAGGCATCCCATAACTGACTATGAGGTGGCCAGTGTCAAATACATGCAGTTCTGTTTCCAACACACCTGTGGGACAACAGAGTCCACAGCCCCAACATCCTTTGACGTTGTGTGGAACTCTGATCTTCGGACTTTTGTTTGACCTCCTTGAAACTGGTTCACTGCCACCACAAAACCCTCAAAAGACTCAGAAATGCTGGTTGACTATTTTAAGCCCTCACCTCCAATATGGAAACATCGAAGGTGCCACCACCCAAGTCGAACACAAGGATCGTCTCGTTTGCCTTCTTGTCCAGCCCATAAGCCAATGCGGCCGCAGTAGGCTCATTGATGATCCGCAGCACTTCCACACCCGCGATCTTGCCCGAGTCCTTGGTGGCTTGTCTCTGCGAGTCGTTAAAGTATGCAGGCACTGTGATGACGGCCTTGTCGACCTTGTCGTTGAGGAACTTGCTGGCATCATCGATCAACTTGCGCAGGACCTGGGCAGAGATCTCCTCAGCAGCAAATTGTCGGCCAGCATTAGGGCAGTCCAGCTTCACGTTGCCGTTAGGGTCCTGCACAACCTGTGAGGCACAACAAACAATAGCTTTGCTCCAGTTGTGTGCGTGCATTGTCTTCCCTGCCCCGATTGCAAATGTGACACCATCCTTTTCCACTGCTTTTTGTCTTAAGGTGCTCTTCTTGAAATAGCAGTTAGGCTGGGACATCCTCCATGTGCTGTTGGACTTATCTTGCACATGGCGATGTAAACATCAAGAAGCATGCAACTTTGCCCAGTTGCTGTAGCACACCAGAAGAGGCTGGCCTTATGAGTGGGTGGCTCTCTCTGACAAGGTTGCATTTAGTCACCGCATATTGGGCAATGCACCAGTGGGTCAATAGACAAGCCAAGAGCCAAGGAGACTGGTGAACTACAGAGATGAGGACGTGATAGTCAGCTGTCGAACTGTAGAGTAAGGAACTGGGAGTTAAGGAGAAAAGGGAACATATGACCACTGACAATCAAAAGGTGTGTCAACCATCGCTTGAAGACAGCAAAGAAGCCACAACTGTGCCCATCTGATGTGCCCATGTTCCTGCGGTGTCCTGGATATGGACAAGCAAGAATGTACAGCATTCCACAACCACGCAGTCAAATCAAATCTCTACAGTATATCACTGCTGTCCCAGGCAAGGTATTAACCAGTGGCACATTCTGTTTAAGTTCTATTTAATTGATGAAAATCGCGTATCCGAAGCACAAATCCCAAAATAAGCGGGCCAGCTTGTGTTATCTCCTGGTCGTTTCACCAGTTATGAAGGCAAACAAGGCTTTGAGAATAAATGCCTGGGGCAAACTGGGGAAAAAGCTGCAGCACTCAGTGCCTATCTTCCACTCAGTCTTGAACCGAGTTTGTCATGTACTTGCATCAAAACTGGAATACACTGTACTGAAAGGGTGCCAAATGTGCAAGGTTCATTGCAATCACAGTGCTACAGGCACCATGAGCTTTGCTCCTGATGCAGCGTCCAATCTTACTCTCGATTGGTGGGCACTAACTGTGTTCATAGCTGCCCATAATGCCCACTTATTCCTGCGGCATTGCGGCCACCCGAACTTGGGCATCACAGCACCGTTGGTCGTCTTTGATTCTATGAAATCCAAAGGACTACCACATCTAATTCGGCCTCTGGTGTTTCTTGAGCTTTCCTGAAAGCAATGCGTTCAGACAGTTCTCATAGTATGGCTGGCATTCACGCTTCAATTTCAACGTGAATTTTTGGAGTTGAGGCTTTCTTTCCACAGCTTTTCTGCTCTCTGGACTGCTGCTGGCACTTAATGCAAACAGGCGGGCGAGCAAAACAAGTGCCAACAAGGGACAACAGTGCACTGTCGATGGGATGGTACGCAACCTCGCAAGAAAGCACAACGGCCCCAGCTGGGTTCTCCGCAAAGCCAGCCGAGTTGAAGAAGATGTTGACACAAAGTAGCACAATACATCAACAGCAATCACTGCTTACTTGTACCAGTGATCGACCTCCCAGCTTATTCGCTCAGTGCGTTTGCTAGATTGCTCACCTGGTAGGGAACCTGCTTGGACTCTTCCTTGACTTCGTCCATCCTGCGACCAATGAACCGTTTCACAGAGAAGAAAGTGTTCTCTGGATTGACGACACCCTGCCTCTTGGCGATCTGCACGCACAACCCAAACATATCAGCCATCGAAACATGCCAAACCTTCACATTGGGCTGTCCAACCGTGTGAAGCTACACCCACACCATTCCACAAGGGTGGGCTCTGCCGCACCTGAACAACTGACCAGCAAAGATCAAATAGGGAAGACGGGAACATGGACAGGATGCTTAACAAAGTGACAGATCTTATGCACATTTTGAGAGTGGCAGACGGCCCTGTTGCGCCTGCAAACATTTCTGCTCAGTTTCCTGTCATGGGCACACCTTTGATTTCATTTGTTTCCTTTTCTTTCACGCTTTCTTGACTACAAATTGTCTGCGCGCCAGACGGACGACAAGCCAAAACATGTGAAAGAGAGATAAATCGTACCCAGTACAGGCAGTGTGGGCACTGTAGTTGACAGGCAATTGCCAACACTTTTAAAACATCCTTGGGCACAGGAGTTTGCAGCTGCAAATCAGAGTGGATTGCACAGATGGCGATATTCAGCAACTTTGTGACACAATGTCCCAGGCCCTCATTGCATAGTCCTCATTGCATAGTTCTGCGCTTTCGTACTAGCTTGCAAAGCAGGATGGTCCAAGAATGTTGTTTTCCTGAAACAGCCTTGTTGGCTCTGAGCGATACAAGTGTACTGAAGCACCTGGCTTGTTGGCAACGCAAAGAAGGAAATTGCTTTGCCTAAAGCAGTCCCTTCTCTGACAAACATTCCACTGTACTAAGTGCATGGTCTGCTGCAACGCAGTGGTAAGCGCCGTGTCCCGGACAGCCCATTCACTGGTGCACAAATAGACCTTGCAACCTTTCCTCACCCCTCCATCCATGCCGGATGGCACACGCAAGTTGAAAGAAGAAACAGAAAGAGAAAATCAAGCGTTTTAGAAGTGCACACGCCCGTCATCGCCTGTGGGGAGCAAGAGCTCTGCTCCGTCTTTTGCGTGCATATTTAACAAAGGAAATAGCCCACCAGGTGCAAGGGCCATGCAGTCTTGAGCTGGCAAGCTGCACCAAAGGCGATTAGCCTGCAAGGTGCGAGGGGCTGAGCTGCATCTAGTGAAGACGACAAAACACACACGGACTTATGGGCTCAGGCCACACACAGTTTCTGTGCAGGCATGCTGTAACAAAGAAGTTCACAAGGTGCAAGGGGCTGAGCTACGTCTTGTGAAGACAACACGACACACAACGGACTTATGGGCTCAGGCCACACACAGTTTTTGTGCAGGCATGCTGCGACAAAGAAGTTAAGCGCACAAGGGGCTGCGCTCTGTCCATGAAGCCACCGCGACACGAAAGGACTCGGGGGCAACAGGCCGCCCGCCCGCTCACCTGCCCGACCAGCCGATCGCCCGCCTTTGTGAAGGCCACCACCGACGGCGTCGTGCGCGACCCCTCCGCGTTGGTCACGATGGTCGGCTTGCCCCCCTCCATCGCCGCCACCGCGGAGTTGGTCGTCCCGAGGTCGATGCCCACGACCTGCGCCCGCCGCGCAAGGTGCCAATCATCAGTCAAGACGCCAGCGTCAATGCATGCGGCCTCCGCCAAAGGCGGCGTCTCCACTTTTCATGCCCACGGAGAGCAAAGCGACCCTGACGAAAGTTCGGGGTTCCGCGAAAATGGGAAAATGGGATCAAGAACGCTCTCATTTTAGCTTGGCTTCAGCAGCGCCCTTTGCCTTTTGCGAACACGCCGCCAAGACTCTGATGCGAGCGACTGGACTGCAAGCCCTTCCGCAGGGCATCAAAGGGCAGCGACCGCAACGACTGGGCCGCCCCGCGTTGTCTCTTGGCGCCCCGCGTGTGGGGCCGCTTCCGAAATACAGCCTCCTGGAACCTTCACCAACCCATCCGGCCCCTCGCGTGCGGGGCCAAGAGGCAAACGGCGGCCGCCCGCCCACCTTGGGCGCAGGCAGACAATCACCCAATCAGATCTCACGCCGTGGAAATTCTTGTAGATTTATCAGCGCGGAAAGATTAATGCCGCCCCGAGGCGCCACCGGCGGACGCGGGGCGATTGACACCGGCGCCAGCCACCCCACAGCCGCGCGGGCGCCGGGCATCGGCCCATCCCCAATCGTTGCCTTCCCCGCCCCCGCCCCGCACTCGCCTTCTCGCAGCGGATGTTCACCGCCCTCATCCTCGACGCGCCCACGGAAAACAAGTTCCTGGGCTGCGATCGGCCCGGCGTCACGCGCCTGTAGTCCGCCATCTGGCGCCGCAGGCCGCTGGTGGCGGCCATGGCGAATCGCCTGCCGTTCGCCACGCCGGTGTGTTGATGCGCGGCTCCCGCCATCCTGATGACGGCGCAGGGCCTCCGGGAGTGGGTGGCTTGCCGCGAGCGAAGACAGGAGCGCGTCTGGTGGGCGGGGGGAGGCGTGGGCAGGCGGAGTGGAGGGGGGTGGCCGCAGACGCCGTTAAAACACGTGGATGGGTGGGGCCAGATTTGGGGCTGGTTGTAGGGGGGGGTCTGGAAGTTTCCATGACGGACGTGGGCCAGCCGTTGGGAAGAGGTTAGGAGACCGCTCAGGGGCGGCTAAACTTGGCGCGTGGCCGGTCACGTGACTGGCCGATTAAGGGAGCCATGTTTGTGGTGGGTAGGGTCGCGTGGGCGACAGGTTCCTTGGGGTCCGTCGCATGGACTGTGTCGTCCTACCTACGGGCACACTGCCCCGCATCAACCTGGAAATGAGCAATCCCACCTTGGCCAACGAATTTGCCTGATGGGAGGGTTTGCCAGGGCACCTCGTTCCTTGGGTCCAGCGGATGCACCAGGCCACCACAGGACTGATGCATTTTCCGTGGAGTTGACAGTGAGGGGCCGCCCGGTTGGGGTGTTGGCCAGCGCACCATCCACTCGGATTTCACCGCTGATGTCGCCCAGCGTGTGCCCCAACGCTGAACATGGGAAAGCAGCCGAGAATCCCCGCCAGGGACACGCCGCGTGCCAAACCCAGAGACACTGACGACAGCTCTGCTGCTGAGCTATCAGCGGGAAACAAAATAAATAAAACAAAATGAAATAAAAAAAGGGTTTCCTTGTGGTGGGGATGGGAGGGGGCATCATCCATGGTCAGCGGTACTCTTTTGGCCACACTCGCTGCGCCTACACAACCGCAGCTGTTGGTCCATCTTATTGTCGTTGGCCACGGAGGGCCAGAGCGCAGCACTTGCGCCTTGAGGGCAATCACGGGCGTCATTCCAATCCCATCGTTTGTTCGTTTCCTCCCTTGATTATTCATCCCACGCCAGTCGCTTGGACAATCCAGAGACAAAAATTGTTGAGCCAGGAACAGCTCTGGGAGTGGCCTTGCACACAGCCCACTGCTCAGTTCCCTCACTGACTGAGCATGCCAAACATCGCCACAAACAACCCCATGCACCTCAACCGGGGCTGACCAAAGGTCACCGGATACCTCACCAAAGTTTAAGTCAACAGCATTCCACCATCCCCCAAGTTCACCCATTGCAAACGTCGCGGCGGCGCCCCTTTACCCCTCAGGCGCCCACGCCCCCGCGCCGGCGTGCAGCAACATCCAAAAGCACGACATCCCGGTGTGCATCAGCATCCAGTGCACCGCCATGTCCCTCCAAGTCAAGCGGGGCAGCCCCCCCGGGCTGTGCCTCAGCCGCGCCCGGTACTCCGACGCCCACAGGATGTAGGAAGGGGCGCAGAATCCCCATGCCACCTGAGCCATTACCGCCACTCTCCAGCAGGCACCCTCTAAGTTGGGCATAGGCGTGCTGCTGGCGCTGCCCGTGCACAGCGCGCACAGCCACCGCCAGGCGGCCACCACGTAGGGCGCTGCGACAGCGCTCAAGACCTCTTCCGTGCACGCTTGCCGGGAAGTGTAAAGCGCCGCAAACAGGGTTATGGATCCCTGCACCATGAGGTGGTGGACGGTCAGCAGCGGGGTGGCGAAGCTGAAGAACGCCAGGCCCGCCGCGCCTGTCGCGCCCATCAGCCACTGGAGGAGCGACCACGCTGAGGTGATGGGCTCGCTGTGCCAGACGGGGACCATGGCCACCACCGACGCTGTGCAAAAGATTCGGTGGGCGAACAGCATGGGGAGCCGCAGCTCGTGACGGCGGTCGACCCCCAGCCAGATCCACAGGCAGTGCATGGCCACGGCGGCGATCGACACCAGGCAGGTGATGGCGCCGCTCCGGGAGAGGCCGACCTCGCGCAGCTGGGCCCAGGCGACGGCCACGGCGAGCACGAAGCCAGCGAGCCTGTGGTAGGCGCGGTCGATCGGCCGGAAGCGCTCCTCGGCGTAGGCCATCGAAAACCGGGCCTCCTCCTCCCGGCTCGAGAACCACAGGCCGCTGAAGGGCGGCGCCGCCAGCGCGCCCTCCATTTTCAGCGCCCCACGATGCGCCAGTCGACCAGGCCAACCCCTGGGATTGACTTTTTGCAGCGGTCGGGAAAGCCTGCACAAACCAGCAGATCAGGCCAACCGCTTCATCAGCTATCAAGTCCCCCACTGACCAAGGCGGTCGCCTCCGCTTGGCAGAGACGCGCCGAGGGGCTCGTGGGGCTGCCGGTCCTTTCTTAGCCCAAGCCTCTAACGGCCGAACGGGTTTGCGCGGAGAGCGCAAGGGACTGAAGCCACAGGCCTAGGAACCTGATCCAAGGGTCCGTTTAGATGTCGTACTCTCGACCATCGCGTGAGCATGCCGTGCAAACTTGTATCGCTTTGTCCTGGTCCGCGTCGGTGTACTGCCTTCTGGTTTTATCGTTCCCGGCCCGCAAGTGCGACTCCGAGAATCGACACGCGTCGCATGCTCTGATCAGTAGACCAGGGATTTGTGGCCACTTTATGCAACGCGACGTGTGGCTGTGGTGCGCTGACTCCGGCTTTGTGTCGTCCAACCGTCCTGGCTGTACCGCTCTATGTGGCGGCGGGGCGCTCATGTACTGGGTCCAAAGCATACGATCTTGACGACGTCGTTGGGCGGGGGCAGACCCTGCGGCGTTTGCGTTGGAGAATCGCCCCAGAGTCGCAGTGATCGCGCGGCAACCCGCGATGTGGGTGTCGCCTGATGTCATTGGCGATTTTGTATCGATTTGGCATGCAACGGGCCTTGGGTTTTCAACGGCAGGCGGCCGTCATGTGTCAAACTATTCCGCATTCTCATATTTGAGCGTTACGGTTTTGACCCACTCTTTTGTGGCGGACTGTCAAATCATTTCTTCGGGCTTCACAACGTCCCCAAAAGGCACAGGCTCGGCAAGCCACCCACTGACCAATTTTCATGCATTTCTGAGGACTCTACCAACATCTGTTGACCTGGCCAGCATCGGGATCATCAAGTTGGGTGAGGGGCTGCGCATGTCCATGGCGCTGCAGAACCATGGGCAAACGGCCATGGTAGATGTGCTCCCATGTAAGCCGCTGCCCCACAAGCTTTAGGCAGTAGCATTGCAACAAATTATGGTCATGCATGGGGAGATCAAATGTCCGCATCGCATAGTTATGGCACATTGAGCAGAGCAGAATCAAATTAATTTGTGTCATATGCAAGTTGGCTTGTTGTGTGTGCTTGCTTTGTTTTGTGCACAGTGCAGACGAGAAAAGCAAATTGCATATAATGTGGTAAGGTAGTGGTTACCCATCCCCGCATAGACTGGTTGTGGCTATGGGCAAAAAGGGGTAATTTAAAGGGCAGGTTTGTGCAAGGCAAACCTGGCTTTGAAAGCCAAATCAAGGTTCAAAACAACTTGTTGTGAGCCCAGCATTTAGGGAGCAACATCAGTGGTACTGTTGTTGCCAAAAGCACTTGTCGTCAACTTTTATTGATATGACGGCAACAAAGATTGGTAGTGATCAAATCAGTGAGCTGTGTTCAACAGTAATGTGTTCCACAAACCAGATTTCGAATCTACTAAATACGCCAGTACAGCCCCCCACAGGCACCTAGTGGGCACCCCTTGACTATTACGGTCCAGGCTGTGACTCACAGCCTGTGAGGCCTAGTGGTGATAGCCAAGTATGACAAAAAGGGTAACTACCCATGGGAGAACTCTAGTACAAGGGTGCTGATGAGGCATTGGGGTGAGCGCCGAAACCGGTCCACCTTGCCCTGAGTTCGAACTGTTCCTATGGCAGATAGTTCTGCAAGTGGGTTTTCTAAGAAAAGCCTACCTAAAGTACTGGTGTCCTAACCCACTAAGGACAAGAGTGTAACATTGGCACTCCATGTTTGCTTTATTGTAAAGAACATTGCATTAGCAAAATACATTATCCCATGAATACCACGGCTACTACCTAGAGGTGGCCATTCAAGGGTGCCATCCGGTCCGTTAAATCCGGTTCGTTAATTTTTATCAGCTGTCCGTTAAATTTCGTTAAAGAAAAAGGGAGAAAATTTCAGAAAAAACGAAAAAATTCCAAAAAAATCGAAAAAAAAACCCAAAAAATCACAACAATTGCGGCTAGTTGTTGAAATCCGGTTTGATTACATTAACCGAGCTCCGCGGCAGCTGAGGCCATGTGGAGAATTGTGGCTAGTTGAAAATCTAGTATGCATAGGTTGAAATAAAATACAAACATACTCTCTAATAGCGAATTCCATAAACTATAAGTATGACTAAAACCCAAAAATCCCCAAAAAATCCAAAAATCCGCTAATTTTTGGTTAATTTTTGTCTTTTTTCGTTATTTTCCGTTAATTAACAGAAAATTAACGGAAATTAACCTCTGTCCTCTATTAACGGATCCGGGTGGCCACCTCTACTACTACCATGCTAAGTACTCACCACAGAAATTGTATTCTCTCCTAGCCGATCAACCCGAGTAGAAAATAACCTTTATAACTCATAAATTTTTATCATAAAATTTTATGATAATATATATATATATATATATTGATAATATAGATAGAGGCATTGATTATATATATGGTTGATATATATATATATTTTATGATAATGATTTATATCATTGTTGATCCAACCCTAAATCTAATCGTGAGGGCGATACGTTGGTAGAATGACGTGACGGATTACCCTGCAATGGGTCTGAGTTGGGTAAACCGCCCCGGGGTGGTTAAAGACATCGGACAAATTAACGGAATACCAATGCATAATCTTTGTATAATGCATAACAGAATCGCCGGGATCTCGACTCCCTCGCTTATCCGACCGCTACCGGTGGGAGCCTTCCAGTTCTCCCCGCATCATTGGTTTCGGAGTGCGGAGCGTTCGAGCGGTAAGAACACACTGGCCGACGGCCGGAATGGCGAGTGGGGATCCTCGCCAAGAGACTGGGAATCCGGGGGACCAATCGGCCGAGCAATTGGTGCCCTATCGAGGCGGGCCGACCCCCATGGAAGTGAATGGAAATGGCGGAGGAGTGACGGTCGCGCAGCACGGAGAAAGTGAGGATCGGCCGGAGTTGCTATTGCTACGCCAAGTGGGGGTTGTGGCCGCGGCTGCTGCGAGGAGAGCGACCCTTTTTGCGGTCATAGAATGGAGCAATTCGGCCGGACAGCAGCAGAATACTACTCTCCGCGGCATGGGGGAAACGCTCGGCCGGCAGCTCGAGGCTGCCACGAATCAATCGACCGCGCAGCAGCTACAGCAAGGCCACAAGCTGCGCGCCTTGCAGGAAGGTGTGCATGGCAGAATGGCCGCGCAAGAAGGGGCCATTTCGGTGATCGGCACCGGGCTGGAAGGTGTGAGGCAAAGAGCTGAAATGCAAGCGAGTGAGCTCGGCAGAATGGAGACCGCCGTGCAAGGAGAGTTGCGCAAGGCTCAAGACTGGATCGGCGAAGAATTGGACTGTAAAATGGAGCAGATGGGGAAGAGGCTCGCGGAAACGGAGGCGCATTTTTCAGAGGCCAACCAGAAGTTGGCGGATGAGGTGCAGCTGGCGGGCACGATCGATGGCGGACGGTTCGCAAGGACTCAGGAGGATGTTTCAGAGGTACGCAAACGGCTGGTGGCATTGGAATCGGAGAAAGGAGGCCACGATGCGCGGTTGGAGGCACTGGCCAATGCTACGGGAAAGGCCTCCGAGGAGGCTTCGATTGCCAATGAAAGCTTGCGCCAAGCGGCGCGAGTGTTGGGCGACCTCGGCGCCGCCGTTCAAGCGCAGCAAAATGCACAGGAATCGGTTTCCGAATGAGTGGAAAGCATGGCTGCGAGCCATGCTCGAGAAACGGCCTCCATGACCGGTGAGCTCGGCGGCATCAAGCGCGCCATCGAGGCGCTGGACCGCAGGATGTCCGAGGCAACGTCCAGGCTCGTCGTTCGGCCGGCTATGCCGCCCTCGACCGTTCGGAGTCGGTCGCCGTTGCCGGTGGCCTCGGGCGCGGAGGATGCAGGTGCCGCGGAGGGAGATGCCGCCCCCGTGGGGCCTGTTCGCGAAAAGGTTACGCTTTACGAGGGGTTACCACCCCTGGCGTAACGGGGAGCTGCGAGACGGCACAAGGTGTGAGTTTTGGAGTTCCTTCGCTGCCCGTTGGTGCTGTGTCGTGGAGTGAGAATCCTGTGAACTGGAAGGTGAATCAGAATGTGGACTGGGATGCATTTCGGAACAAGCAAATTCCCAGCAGTATGTACTTAGGGACCATGGTAACTACTATCCCAAGTACTACAGTGCAAACCACTATGGCACCGCCGGAGAACTTGGAAATTGCGAGCGGCATTGCAGCACCATTGTTGCCTCCTGGTATCAGTCAGATAGCAGGCACTTCAGTACAGCCTGGTCAATCTTCCCGTGGTCAATCAGCTGGTCCGAGTGGAGTACCGTCACGAGTGAGTGGAGCTGGAGCATTTGGAGCTGGATTCCCTACACAGTCGGCTCGCCAACCTCCTTTCCGGGGGTTAGGTGTGCCAGAGGATCCCTACAGCGGGCTGGGGTCATATGGATCCCTGGGTGGTGGAGCTGGAGGATCAGGTGGTCACGAACCACCAAGGAGACCACCCAAAAGGTCACCCTCAGGAGGCCCGCCTGGTGGCCCGCCTGGTGGCCCACCTAGAGATGGCGATGATGATAAAGAGGATGATTCTATGGGCGAGAGAGAGTCATCACATGGAGGTGGGTTGCCGGATGTTGGACACAGAGCTGCCGCTATCCCTGTCAACACTGGATTCGGGAGATTGAGGATTCCGATACCAGAGAGATTTTCTGGCCACCATCAGGATGTGAGCTGCATAGAATGGGTACTGGCCATATGCAGATGGCTGCATGGCAATGCAGTGGACAAGTCACGCTGGCTGTCAGTGATGTCAGCAAACTCGTCTGGAGCTGCCATATCGTGGATGAACCTGGTAGAGTTGCAGGTCTATCAGGGGACACGAGCACCTTTTGCTGGTTGGCGAGAGTTTACTAAGGCGCTGCATGGCAAATTT